CAGACTTGTCCCCAGAAATCCTCAGAGCAACTGCTTGTTCTCCTTTCAATTGCCCCTGTGGCCTCGGCGCAGAATTCTGTTCCAACAATTCCATAGAAAAGAAAAGGCAACATGTAATAACCCCAAAAGAGAAAAGAATTAGTGAGATGCGAAAGTACATTTTCATTTTAAGACGTGGGAATTTGCGTGACCGATGATGATGAAGATGGCCTTAAGCTCCCTTCTTCATTAACATTCAAACTTCAGGCGGGCTATGTGTGAAGTAGTGAAAAGAAATGGAAATTGATAATATTTTATGAAACATGAACACACCTTAATAATGATATTAGCAGCTACAAAGTAATCAGCCTCAGCTTCCAAGGTAGCACTGTAAACAGTTCCATATTGTCTTGCCGTGCCATCAAATGACAAGGTTGGCATGTTACCAGGTGATCCCAAGAATGTAACAAAAGGTTTTCCACGTTCAATTTTGAGTTTTTCAATGTACTCTCCAGGTCCAATATGCACAATCACTCGTTCTTTATTCCCTGTTGGAATGCTGTTAATGGCATCCTTCAAGTTTTGAATTCTCCACTTCCATCTTTTCGAACCTTGATGGTTCTTGGTTTGGCTTCGGCCGCCAAGAGGGCAGGATCTATGGTGCCCTTACGGTCTGCCAGGGGCCTGACATTGTCTTGAAACCATTTGTTTAGGCTCGATGGATCGGCAGGTATCGGACTTTTATCATCGGAACTAACGGTGGCGGACACAAGAAGAATTGCTGTGATGGCACACTGAATAGCTGCAATGCAAGTACCCATCTTCTTCTGTTTTTCTTTCCGGTGAAATATTTTCATGGAATAACATTTTTTTCAAAACTTTTATGTGTCCCTATAAAAAAAAAGAATTAATATTCAATTCTTATCCTTCTGTTCATCATCTAGCACCAAATTTAGAATAATATTACCTCAAGATACATGCTCCATGAGGAATTATGATTTATAATAATTAAAAAAATATAGGATATTGAAATTTAATTCTTTTAGAATAGGGATAAAGATAGTGTTTTTCTATTTATTGAGTAATTAAGGAAATAATCAAGATAAATGAAAATTAAGAAGAAATCAAGGAACTCAATAACTCAAATAAATCAAACAATTTATTTAAATCACCTAATTAAAGGAGATGATCGGGCAGCTTGTATATTTTTTTTTGTTTTTATATATATTTATTATATAAACTCTAAATGAGTTATATGTAAAATATATATTAAATTATTAAAAGATAGCATTCTTTTGTATTCTAAATTTCTACACGTAAAAGAAGATCGAACACGCTCTTTTAATATCTCAATACATCTAAAGATATATTATATAAAAATCATGTTACAAATCGAAAAAGAAAAAATTATGTTCTAAAGCTTTTATCATCAATGGGGAAACCGTACATCAAAAGAGAATCAATCCATTCTTTCTTCTACTTAAACTTTTACATGTGACAGACTCGCTACTCAGTTAGCTTCCTATATATTATTATATGTCCTCTATGCTCTAATAAGTAGAATAATGAACAACAGCAGCCATTTGGAACCCTAAATATAGGCAAGAGAATTTAAAGAGTTCCCTTGCTGAGGGGTCAGCTGCTTGCTGAATTTAACACGGCCAGTTCTAGGGTTAGGGTATTGTAAGGGAGAGTTCACCACTCACTAAGGTTAATTATTTAACATTCCTCGAAAAACCATTGCATGGAGATGGTTCATAAATGTAACATCCCAAGCCATTTTTAAAATGAATAGTGCTAATTAGTCCAAACTTCTTCATGTCCTTTCGAATTTGAATATTTCATCAATATCCAAGTCAAAAAAAGTCACAAATTTAATTCTTAGATATAATTATTTCCTTGTCAAAAATTAATTACTAGCACTTAGATTGGAAACTTTTAGAGTGGCTTGGACTTGAATGCAATTGCCAAATAAGACATGGTAAGCCATGCACGGCGGCGGCGGCGGCGGGTGCTCCTTATTAACCATATTTTCCATACATATACAGTTGCTAGTTTTTCTTACCAATTACCTAGCATGTATGACCTAACATAGATTTACTTAATCCATCAAAAATTAGTGAGATCGATTAATACTTGGATTAAGAACAATCTAATCCTAGGCAAAAGAGTTTCCCAATTGATCAGTTTACAAAAAAAAATAAATTAACCATTAAATATTAACAGACAGTATCTATTTTGGAATGATGATTTTTTTTTTGAAATATGAATAGAGGAGAGATATATAAAAAAAAACTTGGGTAATTATGAAATCAAATTGATATAAAAGAAATCAAGATCAATCCATTACCGGTCTCGTTCATGGTGGAGATTATCGGACGATCCAGCAGGATCGACCACACTACTTATCTCTGTGCAAGCAAACACCACCGGAGGTCTTTCCCATTAATTCCGTTTACTTTGCAATGCACTAAAGAAAATCGAGTATCATCTTCCTTGTGTCTTGCTTGCGCAGTTATCACGGCTAATCCTTGGCCTGCTAGCACCTTTTTGTTCGTTCCCTGCCATAATAAATTCCAGGCCAGCTTTAAATGTTCAAGAATTCAAATGCTTGTAAGAGTTAATTTTGGAGGTTACAAAATACAAGGGCTTCCCACCTCTGAAAATGAAATCAACAGTGCCTTCAATGCAACAATTCTTGCAAAAATGCCGCCCCTTGTCATCACATAAGGTCTTTCCCCCTTGAATGTGCACATGACTCATGCTTCGAATTTCCAAACGTTGATGTCTCATTGACCTCAGACCGCTTGAATCTCTTCCAATCATCTATAGCAGCAGACAAGTCAGTGATCTTGGCGCTAATCGTACGTTCGACAACAATGAAGCAAAAACATCTTGCTGTTTCTGTACAGTAGACTTGTCTTTCCTTTCATACCACAAGTAAAATAATTGAATAGTATTCTTGTTTTACCTGATCATGAAAAGGCCTATGTTTATTGTTTTTTTATTAATAAGGTTTCTTCTGGCCCTTTCCGGATCAGCAGACTAATCCTTGGCAGTAGTCATTTAGGTTGATTTTGAATTTATTAATCCAGAGTTATAGATTTCACAAATAAATTAAAATTGATTTATATCAATTCAAGATATTATTATTGTAATATTTTTTTTAATATTTACTTTAATCAAAATATGATTTTATTGGTTGTTTTAATTGTTTTTATACCCACCAAATCCACTGGATTATATAAACTTAACCCTCACATTATCTAATTTTTTTAATTCTACTATAATAAGTGAATTCTTATGTATTCAATATATGTATCCCTTGAACTAAAACTTATAATATGAGATTTTTATAATTAGTTTAAGAAAAGAAATTTACAAAAACATATATATGTCAAAGTTTAAGAAAAGAAATTTACAAAAACATATATATGCCAAGAAATTATAATTGAAAGTAAGTCGTTGAAACACTTCCCTCTATTTTTTTTTCAAATTAATATCAGCATTTTTGTTTTTCTATTTTTTTTGTGTGTGTCTATATATATATATATGTGGTAAGATGGATCCAATATGCGTTCTTGTATTTTTTTTTAACTTGATATCAATATTTTAATTTGTCTATTATTATTTGTTTATACGTGCAGTAAGATGGATCCAGTGTGCATTTAATTTTTTTAATCAATCTTAAAATTTTATTAACAACAACTTAAATATATTGACAACTAAATAATTCATATATTATAATCACAACATTACTTTTAAATTATATGGCTGTTTTAAATTATATGGCTTTAAATTATATGGCTGTTAAGTAATATCTTAAAATATAATTTATATTATTATCTAACATACTTCTTAAAACAAAAAATTTTTATATTTTAAATTTGTATAAATTCATATTAATTTATATTTATTTTTATCAAATAAATAAAAATATTAAAATTTAAATTCGTGATTATTTGACTATCAAAATTTTAATATTATATTAAAAAAATAATTTAACCTACTAATTTAAAATTTTAAAATATAATTTATATTATTTTTTAGTATAATTTTATTATATAATATAGATTCCTACCGGTCACCCTTTGTTTTAATCGATGAAAACATCATCGTAACTTTTTAGAATTATTGTTGATTGGACCGAAAAAGGTTGTTCAAAACTTGCATCTGCATGCTTTTCACACCCAGAACAAGAATTCCTAATCGTAAAAATGCTCATTCACATTGATTACTTGTCAAATTCTCAGCATAAAGACACATATCATATGTAGATTAATGTGCTTGTTCTTTTCCCGGAAGCCCACCACCTGAGTGCAAATGGAATATTCAAACCCTAGTGCTTGCCTGTTTAAAGTTTTACTTTGCGTATTTTCAATGGTATTTAAAAAGAAAATTATTTTTTATTATTTTAATGTATTAATATTAAAAATAATTTTTAAAAATAAAAATATTATTTTAATAAATAAAAAATACTTTAAAAAATATCTTGTAATAATTATATTATATTATTGAACATAATTAGACTTTTTAAAAAATTAGATGGTGAAATCAATGTTCCCGAGCCATTTACCATTTTTTTTTCCTCTAGTTTTCATGATTAGGGTATTCTTCAACGGGCAACATGCAAGAAACAAGCCTATCAATGTACAGTGTAGTAGTGCACTTGATTAATTTTATAATCCCTTTCTTTATCAATTAATCAACTCAAACTATAATATTAAAATCATGTTTTCTGATAAAATACTATTAAAACCATTAAAGTATGATGATTGAAAATTAAAAAAGATAACAAGTCATTGAAACACGGCTTCGAATTTTATTATAGAAAACCTCACACACAACTTCTGTTTTTGGCCAATCATTGTTTACTGACCAACTTGTTTGCGTCGCAATGAACTGCACATGGAAGTCAAAGTTATCATCCCCACCTTCTCCACGTTTTGCCCTCCCCGACGAGCCCCTCTCCTTCCTTCTCACCTTCCAAACCTCTTACCAACTTTGCCTTATATCATGAGCATTAAATTAATTAATCATACTATTGCCAAAAATCCCTTCTCATAAATTTTTGAGTTCTGACATTTCTGCGTCTCTCAGAGACACTAACCGGCATGTACATGTTAGTCAACTGTTCAAACTGCCACACCCCTTTGCAGCTTCCACCAGGAGACAACTCCAGCTCCATCTGCTGTGCTATCTGCCGTGCCATCACCTACATAGTTGATCCTCGCTCTGCCCCACCACCGCCTGCTCTATCTTACTCATCCTCGAGCCAATACCAACATTACCCTCCCCCACAGCATCCTTTTCAAGTGGTTCCATCACCATTCAGTCGTGCGCCTCCTGGACCACCACCTGCTGTCCATGGCACAAAGCGTGCTGTGATTTGTGCGGTGTCTTATAAGAATACTAAGAATGAACTCAAAGGGTGCTTTAATGATGCCATGTGCATGAAGTATTTGTTGGTTAATAGGTTCAACTTCCCTGAATCTTCCATCATCATGCTCACTGGTAAGAATTTTCAAAAATTTATTTCCGTTCTTGTGTTTCTTGAAAGATTCTTGATAGTTTGATTTATACCGTCTTTAATCCGCATATATAATGTTTTGGTAATTAATTAATTAGTGATTTATACCCTCATAATTTAGGTTTTTTTGTTGAATAAAAGTTCTCTTTACAAAGTCATTTACTCTGTTTGGTTGAATTAGTACATATTTTAATGTCTTAGCTTTCATAATCAGGGGGGATGCTCTCGTGTTTTTATGTCTGGTTGATTTTGGAATGAAAGATATGTTTGTTTGTGTATTGTTATCCCGAATTTCAATTTGATACATTCCTATAATCAGATCTAATCAGCCGAGTAGAAATTCTAAAACAAATTAAGAGTTATTGCAAGTTTAACTTTGACAAATGTGTTCAATGCTCAAGGCACATGGAGTTTTCTGTGATTATATCACAATTCATGCTGATTAATAATCAATTTGCAGAGGAAGAGACTGATCCTTATAGGCGGCCAACGAAATCCAACATGAGAAAGGCATTGTCATGGCTCGTACAAGGATGTCAGCCTGGAGATTCATTAGTGTTTCATTTTTCCGGTCATGGTTCGCAGCAGAAGGATTACAATGGAGATGAGTTGGATGGATATGATGAAACACTTTGTCCAACAGATTTTGAAACTCAAGGAATGATTGTTGATGATGAGATCAATGCACTAATTGTCAAGCCTATTTCCCATGGTGTTAAGCTTCATGCCATCATTGATGCTTGCCATAGTGGCACCGCGATGGATTTACCGTTTCTCTGCAGAATGGATAGGTATGTCCTTTCCCATTCTTTTCTCACTAAAAACGTATCATAACCTTCCAGTGGAGAAATACAAGGATAAACCCGTGTTCTTAGCCTTTGGCACCTTGCAGGAAATGCTGGCTTTGAATGGAAATCGATTATATTTGCATCCTCTCTATCCAAGTATTGTAATTTTCTTGCTCATAAATGCTTACATTGATGAAAATAGGAGCGGGAAGTATGTTTGGGAAGATCATCGCCCTCGATCAGGAGTATGGAAAGGGACAAGTGGTGGGGAAGTGATCTCCTTCAGTGGCTGCGATGATGATCAAACCTCTGCAGACACTTCGGTACTTCCATAATTAAGCATCCATGTCAAACTTTATAATCTAGAAATCAAGAATGGATTTTCTCATTCACAACAGCAATGCACTTATTCAATCTGAATCTATATGGACAGGCTCTATCAAAGATCACTTCAACTGGTGTAATGACTTATTCGTTCATCCAAGCAATCGAGCGCGGACATGGAACTACATACGGCAGCATGCTAAATGCAATGCGGGCTACCATCCGTAAGACGACCAGTGAGTTTGGTGGTGGTATTGTAACAACACTTATCTCAATGCTATTAGCCGGGGGGAATTTCAGCGGAGGGATCACACAGGTATGTTTTTTCATCATTAACTTTTTTCTGTTTTATTCCGCACATATCACCATTGCAAAAGCTGTGGTGACATAAATTTTCTAATCATGTTTGTCTGTATGTGCTCTTACATCACTTTCATTATTTCTGCTCTCATTTTTTGATCTGCATTTGCTTATGCTGATTGGTGATGTTAAAATCTTTCTGCAGGAACCACAGTTAACTGCTAGCGAACCATTTGATGTGTATTCAAAACCGTTCTCCCTGTAACCAGAGAAGAAATTGACATGAAACTATATGATATGTTCGAGGAAGTCATATGTACAGTTCCTGAGTTAATGTTTTTTAAACAAAATAATAAAGCTTACTAAATAGCTAGGGTTCAAATCTCACTGTCTTTATTTAATAGCTTAACCATAATCAGAGATCAATCATATTGGAGATGAGATTCATTTACATTACCATGTTGTCGAAGCATTTCGAGCCTCTTGATCCGCTTCTCCATTAGGATGGCTGCCGACAACCTCTTCAGAATCCATCGTAATATCCATTTTCACAGCTGCAAATTAAAAGTGAGCAAATTAATAATCGAAAACATAAATATTACTGCCTTTAACATGTATCTACCTAGGATATGGTTGGAACAAGGACCATGTTCTTGCTCCTCCCAACTTCCAGAGGACTTCAACTGTTCACATACAAATTTTATGTTTATCATAACTGCTACAAATAATCAAAACTTCAGATACTAAAATTAAAAATTGCCCTTTTGTTCCCATTTCTTGAAGATTGCATTTTTCTTACCAGCAAGTTTTTGATATGTTCTATCTCTTCTTCTTGGCATTTCTAAATCATTTTGTAAATTCTCACACAGTTCCTGACAGAGGGAAAGGAAAATGAAATTATTGTCAGCAGAATCAAATGGTTGGTCATGTTTTTTGCACACGAGTGGAGAGTAGCAGTAAAACAAACCATTAGATTACAAGATGGTTTTTAAGAAGGTTACAGCATCCATCAACAGATGGGGCACCTCTCTGCTTTTCGCTTTTAAAACAAACTTAAGCATGACAGCCCGAGGCCCCACCGTATTTTGGACCGCCATGTTACTACCAGATTGTGATCTCATTGGATCGGTCCGTGACTAAGCACTGATGTGCGTAGTTTTTGAAGCAGGTATCATTCAAGATTTGGATTTAGAGTTTTGACTAGAATAGGTAGTTAATTTTATTTTAAAAAAATTAAAATAATATTATTTTAATGAACAATTCAATGAGTTACAATCAAATTTTTTACTACAATAACTTGAGTTTTAACTTTTTTTATTTTTTAAAAAATTAGACGATGAGCTTTTTTTTATATAGAAAAAATGTGAATTTTTCTAATTATTATTATAATTATAAAACTAAAAGGCATGAATTTATTAGCATGTATGATCTCAATGTTTACCTTTTATATATATACTATAGATGGATTGTACAATTTTTTTAAAAAAAATTTGATGTATAACTTTTTTTCGGCAATTTAATCCTAGTTGAAAACTAATTAATTTTAATTTTTTATGAAATGATCGAATTAAAAGAAAATAAACCTAAATGAAAAATATGCTAAAAATAAGTGGTGTGCAATAAGTTTAGAAAAAGATGCGTTTTGGTCTTCAAACTTAAAAATTAATGCAAATTATACAATTTCAGCACCTCAATATTTTTTAAATTCAATTTCAGTACAAATGTTTTTTTTTTTTTTAGTTCTTGGTTAAGAGAGAAGACAGAGGTCCTTGAATTATGACAATAGAAAAAGAAACATGTCGTTAATACCAATTTAAACCAGTAAAATAGACAATATTAATGTTGAATGATTTCTTTTGATGATGGGAATTCATATCAAATGCTTTGTTTTCCTTTAAAGTTTGTGAAAAATAAATATGAATTTAGGTTGATTTTGATTTTTGTGATGATATGTTGGTTTTTTTGAGCTCACGAATAGATTCATCATAGTTCTTAAAATGTTTTAAGTCCAAATAAATTGAAAAATAAGTTTTGGATAAAAAAACTTTAGTCTTTATTTTTTAGTCACTAGTAACCGGAATCTAGGCAAGATCAAATGATGCGTCGTTTAATTTTTTTTCAAAAAAACTAGATGCAACCAAAGAAAAATAAAAGCCTAATCATATGGGTTTTAATAAAATAGGCCAAGCAAGTTGGCTAAGCCTAATAGTACCTACTTTTTTAAAATTAATGTTTTTTTATATATTTTTTTAAAAAATTATTTATATTTATATTAATACTCATTCTCTCTTTTGTTTTGTTTAAAGAGCTTTTTGTAGATAATGGTTATTTTTATTATTATGCATTTAATTTTTAAAGAGATTTTTCTGATTCATCTATAATTTTTTTTTGTTTTTATCTTTTGTATAGATGAACTATATTTTTTTAAATAAAAAATATTTATTTTCATATAATATTTCTAATATGTGTAGTTTTGCATAATTATTTTCTTTCATTCAATTAATTTAATGTGTTTATCTATTTTTATTATCGTTTGATTGAATAAAAAAATATTATAATAAATAGAATTTAGCAAACATAAATGGATAAATATCCCATCTTTTAAGATTAAATATCATGATCTATATCTGTCTCTTGATTATTCAAGTTTTATTTTTAGGTATCATTAATGATTTTTTATTTATTTATTGGCACTCATAATTCTCGATTTATTTGATTATAAATATACATAAACTTTTTAATTTGCGCTCAGATTTTTTGAACTATAAAAAAAAAATTAAAAAACTTGTATATATATTTTTTTTATAAAAAATAAAAATATTTGATTTACGATAAAACATAATTCATATAACTAATAAACTTTAAAAAATATAGCAAAATTACTATAGAGAAATACACAACACCACCTCTAACACATAATTATCAATCCAAACCCAATCCCATAATATTTGATTCCATTTAATTCTGTAATTTCCTCATCATATAAAGAGTCGTGGTGACTGTCGTCGTCGGTAGGGAAGGCTAGTGGATTTACTGTGGAGAAGGGAGCAAATCACTGATTATAATAAAAGTCATTCTTTATTACAAAGAAAATAAAAATTATACTAATTTTAACTGAGTTATTTTTTATTTTGAATATAAATTTTAGAGTTATTACAGGTTATAACAAAGTAATTGGTGACTGTTAAGGTAATAATGAATATAAGATCAATGAAAAAATAAATAATCAATTAAGAATAAGAAAAGAAAAGAAAAAGGAGGATTTTTATCCTTAATACAAAATGACATTTATTAAAAAAATAAGTCGTTTTCACTTTGATTTTAAGTACACCTAAAAAGTTATTGAGTTTAACCAAATCGATTTCAACTTTGATTTTTTTTAAAAACAACTTATATTAAATTTAGAGTTAATTTGAAAGCCACTGAATTTGATTAAACTAATTATAGTTCTTTTTTTTTCTTTGTATAGCCCAATCAAGGCTATATGTTGCTTTAGTTCAGGGTTAATCTAGTAGGATGGGTCGAGTTTTACATATTATAATATTTATATATGTATAAAATATATTTATAGCTTTGATAAAGTGTTTTTTTTTAATTTATCAAAATATTTTTAAATTAATTAAAGGTGTGAAGTGATAGTTAGATATGTAGGTTATTTTGATATGAATTCTTGTTTTGAGATTTATTGATACAAAAATGTTTTGATATGTTATTTTTAGATAAATGAATTACTTGCAAACCCTAGGAAAATAGCCCTTTTAGCTCACAAAAACCGACGTCGTCTTCTTTTACTGAAACGGCAAGCCGTTTGACATTGGAGTCCATGTCATCAAGAAGACGTGGCACTTCACCTCAGCCACCGGTAACCGAACGGTCCTTACGAAAAACGTCTGGTCCAAAACCCCCTGCTAACCACCGGATAAACACAGCAAGACAAAGACAACCATCCTTGAACTTCGCTCCCGTTATCACCACCGGTCACAGTAAACCACCATGGGTACCGCCGCCACAACCACCACTCGCTTCCCCTTCTCCCTCCCACCCCCTAAATCCTATCCTCCACACAACCACCGCCACTTCAAAGTCTCCATCTTGACTCCCACTATAACTCCCACTTTGAGAGTCCAAGCTATGGGAGCTGGCGACAAGTTAGGTGAATTTGGTGCTAGAGACCCTTTTCCTGCTGAAATAGAAAGTGGGTTTGCTGAGAAGGTGTTAGGAAATGTTGATACTGAACATAAGATTCTCATTCCTACTGTTTCTGCTCTTTCTCTTTCTCAGCAAGAGTGTACTCCTATATCTCCTTTGCAAGATCCCATGTCTAAAGATGATGCTCAAAAACTGTTAAAGAAGGTAAATTTCATGTCCCCATACGGATTGCTTTGCCCCTGTTTTCTGTTTTAAGTTTGAGGTTTGCTATGTACAGCATGTCTTATCAGTTGTAGTTTGTATAAGTTTGCTTACCCTCTGTGCTAGTTGATAGATGTTGAATTGGACTCGTAAATGATAGTTTTGTGGTGGTGTAGTTGGTGTAGTAGTTAAAATTGCTTCATGTATGCTAATTAGTAGATACTGAAGAGATGGAAGATGAAGAATACTCATTTGGTTTTGTTCTTTTCAAGCTGGATTCATTATTTCTAATGGAACTTAAAGTTTGAACCTTTAGAAATTGCAAGTTCCAGTGCTACATTTATTTGCAGACTGTAGGAGTCGATTGAATCTTTGATGCTGCGAATCAGCAATTCTTTTGGACCAATCTTTGCCTGCATTTTGTGTTGCCGGCTTTTTTATTCTTCTACTTAGCATCTTGGTTCTGGAATGAACTGCTTGTTCTGCGCACTTGCACAAATTGTTTGTTTCCATGGTTGGTTTTCTTTTTCATGTTCTTAATAGAACTCTCAGTTTTTTTCTTAGCAGATAAAAAGTATACTATTTTCGAGCTTCTATGTAACATTTTCATTTTCATTTTCCTGAACTCGGAAAAACTAATTGGCAGTATGTGATTCCAAGAGAAAATCATTATCAAGAGGCAACTCTTCTCTTGCGATAGATCATGTTGAAATGCTTTGATAAGTGAAGTTCCTAGCATATTTGAATTCTATAATATTTATCAAATATTCTATGCTACCACGTAGAAATAACAAAAAAAAGGTGCTCACATTATGAACCCGATAAAAGAAGAAACTTCCGATCCAATATTTTTCTCTCGTCTAGCTTTTTTAACATTCTAGTGCATTTGCTTCTGTTTCATTTTGGATACTGACAGACAAAAGCAAAGGTAGCATATTCAGCATTGTTTTTTTCATTTGCATAGACATAGAAGTAAATTCTGAGAGTTTCATGTCCAGCTTCCAACTGCCAAAACTTCAATGTGCTTTTGCTTAAAGGAAAAGATTTTCATTTGTAGGTTCTAGGCTGGAGGCTCCTGGATGAAGAAAGTGGACTGAAACTGCAATGCTTGTGGAAGTTGAGAGATTTTAAATGTGGGGTTGAGCTTGTCAATAGAATTTACAAAGCTACAGAATCATGTGGCCATTTCCCAAATGTGCACTTGGAACAGCCCAATCAAGTTAGAGCTGAACTATGGACTGCACCCCTTGGTAAGCTTTCAAGTTCACAACTTCCTCTCTGAACTCCAATGTTTTTCACCTTGAAGGCTAAATATTGAATTTTCTTGTACTCAACATGCTACCTGAACCAAATGATCTCTTTGATAGCACTTGAAATTTAAAAGTTTTCTGTTCGAACCGCAGGTGGCTTGAGTTTGAATGATTTCATTGTTGCGGCCAAGATTGATGAGATTAAGACATCTGACCTTGTCCCTAAAAAAAGAGTCTGGGCATAGTTGGATTTTCCTTGAAGGCTTTCCTGAATGAACCTGAGAGATCGGTCTGTTAATAAGTTGGTGTTTCAGAATCCAACAACAGTCTACTGAGGCCTCATTTTTCC